ACAGCTGGGCAGTGTGGGGGACACATCTGGGAGGACGCGGCCAGAGACCCCCCCTCGGGCCCCCCCAGTCCCGGGCTGAGCCCAGTGGCCAGCATTAATATTTGAAGAGGCTAATACTAATTAAGGCATGTGCACAGAATACTAATTGGGACAGGGGGCTGCCCTTCTGCCCAGCTCTCCCTGATGCCCCAGAACCCACCCCCCCACCCCCCCTCTGTGAGGGTGTTAATTAGCTGCTCAGCAATTAGAAGTGGGTGCCTTGATGAGGGGGAAGTTCATGGCCGTGGGTGAGGAGAGCCGTGCTTGGGGTGGGTGGGCACTGGGGGGGTCCCTGGGGCAGGATCCGACAGTGCCCACGTACAAATCACTCTCTGGAAGATGAAGCTCTGATCTGGCTCTGCCAGATCCCGTTTATTCCGGACTTGTGGCTGCTGGAGCCCAGCAGGCTCAGAACGGCGGGGAGGGATTTGTCCCTGATTTGTGGGGGACATCTGGGGGGGCTGGTGGTGGCAGGACAGCCCCGTCCCCGCAGTGAGGGGTTGCAGGAGCCCCCTGGGTGTGTGCAAAGGTGGCATCTGAGACACCCCGGCACAGAACCAGCTGGTGGTGAAGTGAAGGAGGGGGGGCTGAGTGCCCACCTACCCCTGCACCCCGGTGGGAAGGACAGCTCCAAGGTCCCCCTCCCCGCTGGGGGCAAACAGGACACCCTAAACCCGCCCTAAACCCGACCTGGGCGCGATCACTGCAGGGCTGGGGGCAGTGGCACCCCCAGAATGGACACACCAGAGTCCTGTCCAGCCCTGGCACTTCCCAACACATCCTGGGAGCAGGGCTGGGACACAGCAGGCACGCTGCTGGGGGTTCCTGCTGCAGGGAAAGCACCTTCCCTGTGCTGCTGCTGCACGGCAGGACGTGGCAGCAGCAGTGGCCGGGATCCCCGGGCCCCTGGCTGTGCTGCCAGCTCGGTGTGGGGCTGCAGGAGCAGCAGGGAGGGGGGACAGTCCCATCCCTGCCCTGTCCCTTCCCTGCTGGCTCCTCAGTCGCTGGTGCTGTCCTCGCTGTCTGTGTAGGCTCCCAACAAGCCCAGCGAGGACGTGGCTGCTGCTGCTGCTGCTGCTGGAAGCGAGCCTGGAAGAGGAGGGAGGGAGGGAGGGAGAGGATCTGGTCAGGTCCAGCCTCCCCAGGGCAATTCCCAGTGTTGGGAACACCAGCCTGGCTGGTTGCTCACAGAGTGGAGCCTCATCCCTGGATGGACCCTGAGGTCAGAGAGGATAAATCAGGTGGATAAAAACCTCCTGCACCTCTCTGCAGGAAGCACCAAGGTCTGGGACCACCCCCCTTTTCCCTCCACAGCCCCCTGGCATATTCCAGACCCTGGAAAGGGGGAGAGGAGCCAGCTCTGGGCTCCCACCAGCCCAGTCCTTGCGACAGCAGCCAGGAGCAGGTGGCTGGGGAAGGGAAAAGGGGACACCTCCAAGAGCTGCCCCTTCCCAGGGGTCCCCCGAGGGCAGGAGGATTCACTAATCCAAAGGCTTAGGCTCAACCAGCCCAGAGCAAATCCATCCCTCGTGTCCTTCCCCAAACCCATGGATCCTCTGGCTTGCTGGGCAGCTCACTGAGGTGCTGGAAAGCCTTCCAGCTTGTTTTGTGCTCCTTAAAGCTTCCCAGCTTCAGCAGCTGGGCAGGATTTATCACCAGGCCCCAAACCAAAGCAGTTCTCCTGCTGTTCCACCCCTATCGAGCTGTTGTGTCGTTCCCAGGGCTGTATCTGCTGTTTTGAAGCTCCTGGCCCTGCCAATCTGTCCCCAAGGCCGTGGCTGAGAGCCAAGAGCCGGGAAGGAGCCTCACCTTCACCAGGAAGCTCCTGGAAACGGGGACAACCCCCTGCTCTCACACCAACCCCCAGGGCCCCCAGGCTCTGAGCACGGAGCCAAATCCCACCCGGGAGCTGCCAGAGCCCCTCCAGGGCCCAGCCTGGGGCAGGTACCGGTGTTGGCCGTGGTGCCTTGGGTTTCCATCCCATTATCCAGGGCAGGATCTGGCTTCTGCTTCCTGCGGGCCACCAGCCCGGCCAGCTGGGCCTTGGTGCTGAGCTTGCCCACGCTGCGCTCCCAGCTCTCCGTCCTCGGCTTCTTGCTCTGGGGCTGGGGGTCCTGCAGGGCACAGCCAGGGTCAGGGGGCTCCAGCTTGGAGGGGACATGGGGGGGACTGGGGATAAAACCAGCAGGGACACGAGGAGAGGGGCCTGAGGGGGAGTTCTGCCCCTGCAGGGCTGGCACAGGCCGGACAAACAGGGATGTGGATCTGCAAAGCTGCCCCTGGAGATCCATGTCCCACTGCCAGAGGCCTTAGGATGGCCCTGGGGTGCTGAGGAGGCAGAGAAAACAATCCCAGCATGGTTTGGCTTGAAAGGACCTTAAAGCCCATCCAGTCCCACCTTTCACTATCCCAGATTACTCCAAGGCCTGTCCAACCTGACCTTGCACACTTCCAGCCACAGCTTCTCTGGGCAATCTATTCCAAAGTCCCCTTAAATCCCATCCAACCCTCCCCTGCCATTCCAGACCATTCCCCCGTGTCCTATCCCTCCCTGCCTGGATAAAAGTTGTTTTCCCTCTGTTTTATCAGCTCCTTTCAAGGCCACTGAGCAGCCCTGGGGCTGCAGCAGCCCTGGCAGCGCCGGGTGCCCGCAGGTGGCCCAGCCATGGAACCCGAGTGCCCTGGGCACAGGGATTAGTGCCAGGCCAGGGACCACAGCTGGGATTAACCCAGCTTTGATCCAGCCCAGCAGACACGGGGCCCTGGGGCAGGGATTGACAGGGGCAGAGGGCAGGGCTGTTTGTTGGGATAATCCCTCCCTCCAGGCCGGGCTCTGGGAGCTCTTTTGTTCTGCCTGAATCCAAAGCACAGCCCAGGGAGAGGCCGGCCCAGCCTGAAGCAGCAGCAGCAGGGCCCAGCAGAGCTCGTTCTTGACGAGGAAAGGAGGATGGGATCAGCTCCATCCCTGCCTTTGTCACAGCCTGAAATCCCCAAGTGACCCCTGGCTGCTCTCAGCACAGGGACACGGCCTTTGGGAGCTGCTCAGGCGTGACACGAGCCCGGTGTCACCCGGAGCAGGGACACAATGGGCACACACAGCTCCAGGACAGAGCTCTGGAGCTGGGGAAGGGCTGGGCAGGCTGTGCCTCTCTCACCTCCTGCAGGATGTCCGTGGGTTTCGTCTGGGCCGTGGGGTTGGGGCGGGGTTTCGCCGCTTCCTCGTCAGAGTCGGAATCCACCAGGAGCCGGCGGTTCTGGGCCTGTTCCAGCATGGCCCTGCTGGGACACAGGAGGGTTGGAGCTGGATCCATCCCACTGCCAGGCCCTGCTCGCTCCAGGGGAGCTGGGGCCAGCAGCAGAGCCTCGGGATCCCCCTTTCCAGGGGGTTCTCTGGGATCAGGTTCCATCCTGAGGGGTGGGAGCACTGGGGTTTGGAGCTTCACCCCAGAGCAGAAACTGGGTCCATGTGAGGGCCCTTCCCAGGGGAATGGACCCTCCCACAGCAGCCCAGATCCCACAGAATCCCAGCTTGGTTGGCTTGGAGGGACCTTCCACTCCTTCTCCCTGGACACTTTGCCAGGACAGGCTGGGATCTCCTCCCACCTCCCAAATCCTGGTAACTCAGCCTCCCTCTCTCAGCACAGCCCGGGCCCAGCCTGGCTCATCCCACTCGAGCTCCTCCAGCCCCCTCACTTCATCTCCTGCTCGTCCTCCTCCTGCTCCTTGCGCCTCTGCTCCTCCTCCAGCTCCTTGTACTGCTTCAGCATGGCCTCAAAATCCACGTTGGCCTGGCGCTGGTTGAGCTCCTTCAGCTCCTGCAGGTTCTCCAGGACCTCCATCTCCAGCTTGGAGTCCTTGGTTCGGTTCTCCAGGACCTGGGTGGGATAAGTTGGGATATTTGAGCTGACAGGAGCTTCCAACACCTCCCCATGCCGGATGAAGCACAAGAGGACCCTCCTCATCCTCATTTTTGGGTAGGACAGGAAAATCTGAATGGCTACAAAGTCACTGCTGAGGCTGGGGAGAGTCAGGCAGAGTGGGAGAGGTTTTCCTGCAGCGCTTGTACCTTCATGGGATTGTTGAGTTCCTCCTCTTCCCTCTCCTTCTGCATCCTCTTCTCCTCCTCCTCCAGGAGCTTCTCTGCCTGGAAATTCCTGGTGGCGCCGTGCTCCATGGTGTAATCCGTGTTCTCAGGGTCTGTCTGAGAGGGGAACAGCAGGAAAACCACGGTGGGTGGGGATCCTGCTCCAGCCTGTGGGAGTCCAGAGCTTCCCTCTGGCTGCCCTGGCAGGTCTGGGACCCTGGCAGGGGTCAGGAACCCCCTGGACACAGCCCCCAGAGACACTGGCTGTGATCTCTGTCCATGGAAAAGAGTTTTCAATCTTACAGGATGAATTACCAGCTCTGAGGGTTTGATATCAGTAATAATTAAGTGTGGCATGGGTGCAAAAGTAAAATTTTAGGATTCTAGATAAGGGGTCCAAAGGGGACAAGATGGAGGAAATTGGGTATACCTTGTCCTGATCTCCACCTCACCACCCTGGGGGGAAAAAAAAACCTCCTGATCTCCACCCTGAGGCAAAAAAAACCTTCTCCTGATCTCCACCTCACCACCCTGAGGCAAAAAAACCCTTCTCTTTATCTCCACCCTGGGGGGAAAAAACTTCTCCTGATCTCCACCTCACCACCCTGGGGGGAAAAAAAAACCTTCTCCTGATCTTCACCCTGGGGGGACAAAACCTCCTGATCTCCACCCTGGGGGGACCAAACCTTCTCCGGATCTCCACCCCAGCAGCCTGGCACAGCTCCAGCTGTTCCCAGGGCTCCACCCCAAGCTCCTGCAAGGCAGGGAGAGGCTGGAACTGTGGGGCCAGGCTGACCTTGAAGGTGATCTCCGCCAGGCAGCGCGTGCACTTGATGTAGAAGCGGAAGATGGGCAGCCCCAGGTAGGACTCGTTCTGCACCGTCTCCTTGCGGGCGTTGAACTTCTTGCCCTTGTAGATGTACTCCCCACACGTCTTGCACCTGGCCAAGGGCAGGGCAAAGGCCCAGGGCATGTCAGAAAAACAGGGAATGAGCACCAGCAGCAGCCTAGCTGGCTTCTTCTATCAGGTGGGTTTTGCTGCTGGAAATTTAGGGGGTGACCAAGCTCAAAATCGGGGAATCGTGGGTTGGTTTGGTAGGGAGCTGAAATCCCACCCAGTGCCAGCCCTGCCATGGCAGGGACACCTCACAGTGTGCCAGGCTGCTCCAGCCCAGCCTTGGCACTGCCAGGGATGCAGGGGCAGCTACGGCTGCTCTGGGAGTTCCATCCCAGCCTCCAAGGCAGGAATTCCGTCCCAAAATCCCAGCCATCCTTGTGGGATGCCATTCCCTGTGTCCTGTCTCTTGTCCCTGGTCTCTCTCCAGCCTTCCTGTGGGGTCCTGGAAGGAAACCACCCCTACCCAGCACCTCCTGCCCTCCCTCAGCCCCTTCCCTGCCCTGGAGGCACCGGAGGCAACATCTGCAGCCAACATCTGGCCCCCCCTAAGGAGATTCCTCCTTCCTTCAGCTGCCTCCAGGTGTTCCAGCCCAGTGGAGCGTCCCTGCCCATGGCACTGGGGGGCTTGGTGACCCCCAGCCCATCCCAGGAGTGACCCCATGGTTCCATGAGTGACCCCACTGTTCCAGGAGTGACCCCCATTAATCTGAGTGACCCCACTGTTCCAGGAGTGATCCCACTGTTCCATGAGTGATCCCATTATTCCATGAGTGACCCCACTGTTCTCTGAGTGACCCCACTGTTCTCTGAGTGACCCCACTGTTCCAGGAGTGACCCCACTGTTCCATGAGTGATCCCATTATTCCATGAGTGATCCCACGGTTCCATGCGTGACCCCATTATTCCAGGAGTGACCCCACAGCTCCAGGAGTGACCCCGTGGCTCCAGAGCTGCTCTCACCTCATGTTGAAGGGGGCCATGAGCCTCACCACGTACTGCCGGTCCTTCGGGAGCTTCAGCTTCGGGATCTTGGCCGGATCGAAGTCCGGGGGGTAATATTTCTGTGGGGAGAGAAGATTTGGGAATTATGGGAATAGTTCTATGGGGAGAGAGAAGATTTGGGAATATTTCTATGGGGAGAGAAGATTTGGGAATTCTGGCAATATTTCTACAGCGAGAGAGCAGATTTGGGAATGTTTCTATGGAGAGAAGATTTGGGAATTCTGGGACTATTTCTATGGAGAGAGAAAAGTTTTGGGAATGTTTCTATGGAGAGTGAGCAAGTTTGGGAATTCTGGCAATATTTCTATGGAGAAGGAGAAGATTTAAGAATGTTTCCATGGACCGAGAGCAGATTTGGGAATTCTGGAGCACCGGGAATCTTCTCACTCCGCACAGCTCCGGCAGGAGGCTGCAGCCAGGTAGGGCTCGGGAACAGCGACAGGATGAGAGGAAGCGGCCCCGGGGGAGGTTTAAATTGGAGGCTGGGAGAATTCCCTCACGGAAAGGCCTGTTAAAGCCTGGAACGATCTGCCCTGGAGCCTCCATCCCTGGAGGTGCCCAAGGACGGCCGGGACGGGCACTCGGTGCTCTGCGCTGGTGGCGAGGCGGGCACCGGGCACAGCCGGGACTGATCCCGGGAGCGACTCCTGAGCCAACGGGGACCGCCGCAGCGGCCTCGGGGAGCCCTCCCCTGGCGCAGCCCGGCCCCCTCGGCGGGGATGCCTCTCCGACTCACGTTGAGCACTTTCCGTTCCGACATCGCTGCGGCTTCTCCCGACCGCCGGTACCGCCGGTACCGCCGGTGCCGCCGGTGCCGCCGCCGCTGCCCCCGCGCCGCTTCCGGGTGTGGCCCCGCCCCCTCCGCCGCTCATTGGCGCAGCGAGCCGCTGCCTCCCCGTTCCTCGTGTGTTATTGGCTAATCGAGCTGTCGGTCAACAGAAGAGCCCACGGCGGTTGTACAACCCAGCCAAGAGTCCGCCGGAGAGCCGCGGCCTCACAGGGGGTTCCGCATCTTTTTGGCTCCTGGCTGTGCTCCGGCTCCGGCTGGGGAACGCCGGAGCTGCGACCCGGGGCTGGGAAAACTCGGCTTCCTCACAGCACCATGGGATGGGGCCCCGGCCTCCCCTATGTCCCAATGACACATATTCATAATGTAGATAAAAATCACCAAACAGTCTGTTTGTGCTTAAAGTGTCACTTTCTTTCTAAAAACTGAGGACTCGGAGTCATTTTGAGTTTGCAGCTGGTTTTATTCCGCTCACTCCACTGAGCACGCGCAGCCCGTGGCAGCCATGCTGTACGGCACCGCCGCACTGCGCATGCGCCGTTGCTATTGCCGCCATTCCGTACGCACGTCCCACGGCCTGAGCCGCCAGCGCCGGCATTCCCAGGTGCCGCTGCCGCCAGCCCCGCCCGCACCTCGTGACCGCAGCCCTGCGCATTCTCAGACCCCCACTCCCCGCACGGCGCCGCCACACCGCGCCCGCGCGGACCCGCCATTACCGGCGGTGGCGCCTCACCGCGCATGCGCGGCGGCTCCCGCGCGGCTTCCCGCCACCCCACCCGCCGCTCCTTCTCCCGTGGCGCGCATGCGCGGCGCGGCGCCCCCTGGCGGCCCGGGCCGCGGCGCCGTCCCGTCGTGCCCCGCGCTCCCCACACAAAGGACGCGCTGGGAAATGGCGGCGGCCGCGGCCTCGCAGAGCGCCCCCGGCAAAATGGAGCCGCCCCCGGCGGCGGCCGCGGCGGCAGCGGCGGCTCCGCCAGCGCCCAACGGGGCGGCCGGCGCGGGGGGGCCGCCCCCCAAGAGGTAGGGGGGGGTCGTGAGGAGCTGCGCTGCCGGTGGGGCCGAAGGGCCGCGTGCGGCCTCCCCGCTGCGGGGCCCGGCCTGAGGGCAGCGGGGCGGACCGGGGCCGGCGAGGGGTCCCGCGAGGTGGACACCGCTGCGGGGCCTCTCCTGGCGCTGCGGCCGCTGCTCCCTCCGGGCACGCCTCGGGATCCCGGGCGGGGCCGTTCCGAAGGCGCCTCCGGGGCACCCGCGGCGCTGCGGGCCGGGGCCCGGCGGGCGGGGAGCCCGGGGATCGCCACCATCCGTCCCCTCAGCAATCCCCTCAGCATCCCCGCTGCTCAGCTTTGCTGGAGTTTTGGTTTCCCCAGGGGGGATCAGGCTATGCCAGCGGGGGGATGTGTAAGTTCATTACTTTTGTGCTGTCAGTAAACTTTGAACAGCTCCGTTGCTCTCAGCACCTCCCTCATCCTCCTGCGCGCTTTGGAGCCCGGCGTGCTCCTTTTTGGAGGTAATTTGAGCGTGAGGGGATTTAGGAGCGCAAACACCTCGAGGGTGAGAGTTTAAGGGGAGGGGCTGCACAATCCCGGTGGCTGCTGTCGGGAAAACCTTAGAGAAATTTAAACCAGAATCGGCAGCGCTGCAGTTCCGGCTCTGTAAACGTGGGGATGAAGGGCGCAAAAAGCCTCAGCTGCTTCTCACTTCCTCATGTGTGTGCTCGATGAAAATTCCACAGTTGGCAAAGCCGGTTTTGGTACCAAATCCGCAGAATAGAAAGAACTTCTATTCCTCAGGGCGGTTTTGGCCTCATTTCATGGCGGGGTGATAAGAATCAGGTTAAACCTGGTGTGCTGTGATTCCTGTTGCAGACCCGAGCTTGGATTTGTGTTTCCCGAGCCCAGGAACAGTTTTCCGAGTGTCGCTTTAGGGGAAAAAGTTCCATTATTTTTTTTTTTTTTCCATTGGAGAACAGTCAGACTGTGCTTTGAGCAGTAAAATTCGGACAGACACAATTTCATTGACTGTGCAGCTGGAGCCAGGCAGGGGCAGAGACATCCCTGGTCCCAGGGACAGGGAAGGGTGTTCCCACCCTGGATTCTGTTCCCACCACTCCTGGGAACATGGAAGCAGCAGTTTGTCTCCATGAGGAGCCTGTTCATTCGTGGAAGTATATTTAAATAAAGTTATCCTTCTGCTGTGGTTTTATTTTTCCTGACCTTGTTGCACTTGGGGTGCTTCCAGGGAATTTGTTTGTGTCTGCAGGTGCAGTTGTGTTTGGAATATCCAGCTCCACGTGGCAGAGCTCTCACTTCCACAGGGATAACACCAAAGTTCTCAGTGGCCTTGAGGAAATCCAGTTTAAGAGATAACAACTAAAATCAGAGTACAGCTTTTAACACAGCTATGTTTTATGTTACTTCACCAACCAAACAGAAATGAAAGTGGGAAAAGGATTGTCCTATTTCAAGTCTAATTTTGGAGTTTTAATTATTTCATTAATAAAGAAACTTTAAAAAAAAAATTCAGTGAGAGAAAGACTGGAAAATTCCCATTGCTTTGGCTGCTGGGTGATAGAAGCAGGGAACAGCCTCAAATATAAACCTTCAGAGGTTTCTGCATTCTTAATTTCCTTTTTCCCTGCAAGCTGTTGTGTCTGTTCAGGGATTGAAATGGTCCTGAAGGGATGGAGCTGGGATTTCTGACCTGGCGTTTGCAGGGCTGCACAGGTGCTAGGTTGGGAGAAGCTCAGGATTGTAGAAATTTCAGATTTATCTGATGTGTTCTGAATTCCTCCTCAAGATGTGTCGGTGCATCTTCTCCAGCAGCATTGATTGAGCAAGGAGATTAATTGGATTAGTGAAGGGAATTATGTAAGACTGAGGCTGAAACTTTTTTGTTCCCATGATTTGTTTTTTTCCTTTCAGGATGGTCTGGGCTTTTCCCTTCCCATCCAAACTGCTCTGGAGTTGAGAGATTCAGCTCTGCTTTTGTTCCAGCTGGAGGTGGTGGCACTGCTCCATCCCCAGCAGCTCACAGGGCTTCTCTCCTTGCAGCGAAGGCGAGCGCCCGACCCCGAATGAGAAGAAGAAGGAGAAGGGGATGAAGAGGGGAGGGAACCGCTTCGAGCCCTACGCCAACGCCGCCAAGAGGTACCGAGCCTTCATCACCAACATCCCCTTCGACGTCAAGTGGCAGTCGCTGAAGGACCTGGTCAAAGAGAAAGGTAAAGTGCAGCTCAGGTGGAGAGGCTGTCCTGTGCTCCAGCCCGTGCCTGGCTCTGGCTGGAGCTCAGCACTTGCACCTCTGGGTGCGCTCGGCCACACGAGTTTGGAAAAGCTCTTCCCGAAGCCTTCTGGGTGTTGCACAACCTCTGTCCCTGGCAGCCTTCCAGGGGATGGTTCCTGTGGAGGCCTGTGGCACACAGCTGCTAGAGCCTCATCCCAGGATTAGCAGTGTTTTCCTTAGGGATCCAAGCCCAGGCTTTCAGCAGATTTTAGCCTTGAAGTGCAGCAGAACTTTTGAAGCATTTGAATGTTTTTTTTGGGCATTCAGGTGGTTATGTCCTGCTCTGGCGTGTGGATATCCAGCTGTGTCCCCAAATTTGGAGGGGTTTGGGCTGGCTTCAAGAGCCATTCTGCCATTGGTTGCAGTTCAGTGTATTTAAGGGTGACCTGCAAAATCAGGTTGGTGCTTTGGCATGTGCTGCAGCAGAATCAGGGCTTTGGAAATCAGATTTGTGGTGTTCCCACTTCCACAATTCCCTTTAATTCCTATGTGGATGGGAGCTGCCTTTGCTGACCTGAACATCTTCGTCTCTTGAGGAAGATGAAGAGATTGAGCTGAGTGCTCAGGTAGTGACAAGGCTAAATTAGTGTCATTTCTTCAGGCTGGTGCCCATCTTTCCAGTTTTCAAGTCACCTTGGAAGTGCAGTGGAGTGGCAAGAAAATCCTTGGCTTCTCCAGCCTTAAAATGTCTAAACCAAGTTCAGAGTAACAGCACAACATTTCCTGTGGGGCACTTCTGGATCCAGAGCATCAGCCAGGGTAGTGGGCAGTGGTCATTGTGCTGGAGCTGGGCAAGGACTGGCAGTTCAGGCGTTTGAGGTGTGGCCTAAAGAAGGGGAAAACAAAGTTCCAGAGGGTTTCAATTGTTTGTCTTTGGAGGCAAAAGGGAATGAATCTGTGGAACAGACTGGGAGCTTCCCAAATTAGGGGCTGTTTGAGAGCCAGCAGTGGTTTTGTGCCATGGCAACAGTGTCAGCCTCAAGGGCTGCTTGAGCAGGCCCTGATGATGGATGGAGCCCTCACTGCCCCGTGGCTGCCCCAGATCCGTTGGTGTTCCGGGTGAGGAGATGTCCAGCTCTGTGCTGTGTTGAATCCCGTTCCCAGTGTCTGGTGGTTTCTCTCCAGTTCCCGTGGATGGCAGAGGCCAGGCTGAGATTGTTTCCTGCCGGGCTGTTCAGCTGCTCATTCCAGCAGATGCTCCTAGGGGAACGTTGGAGCCTTTTCCTTCTGGCTGCAGGGCTTGTCCTGCTCAAACTGGGATCATTCCTGGGGTTTGGCACTGCTGATGAACCCAACAGTTTGGACTTGCCGTGGAGTTGTTCTGGACTTCTCCCAAACTGCTGCTCTCGTGCTGTGCTTGGCCTTGCTCAGTCCTTGCCTCGAGGCAGAGCAGTTCCAAGCCCCAGGAAAACTCCGACCCGTTGGAATGCTTGCTTCGGAAGCGTAAGAACGCCAGGCCAAACGTCCCAGGCTCTGGGAGCAGGTGGAATTCTTGCCCAAGGGGAAACCCTGGGTGTGTGAGGGCTCTGCAGGGCTGGGCCCCGTGCAGAAGGGGCTGTAGCAGCAGCAGGAGCTCGGGGAGGTGCCGTGTGTGCAGCAGCTGCTGCTGTTCTGCAGCCTGGGAGCGGCCAGGCTGCTCCAGGTGCCACCTCTCTCTCTCTCCTCACGCCGTGGCTCGGGCATCCCAGTGGATTGGTTGGAGAAACTCAATTACAGGTATGCAGTGGGAATGTTGGTAATGGAATGAAGAGATGTTCT